AGAAAACATTTGGTCAATCTAAAGGTAAAGGTCATTTTAAGAAAGATGACCGAAACACCAAATCCGAGATTTGTCAAAGGTGTGGATGTACTAACCATCGTACTAGCAAATGCCGAACTCCTAAGCATCTAGCGGATTTATATCTCAAATCCACTGGGAAAGGCAAACAAGTTCATGGAAAAGCAGAAGCTCACTTCAACGCTTTACAACAAGAAGAGAACCTTGAAGCTAGCACTTCTCAAAGCGCTCCTCAGGAAACAAGGAAGAAGGATGAAGATCTTCTTGATGTCGATAACATGATGGTGGAATACACCCAAGACGCATACGGAGATCTCATATAATCTCCACATCACTCATTTGATGTTATCAGCTATTTTATTGTAATAATGAAAGTTATAATTTGTATAACTCTAAGTAGAATAAAGTCCTACGGACCAATCATATTATGTAATTCAGACATAATGTCATATTTATTTGTGTAACTGTAATATGAATACTTTGTATGTATTTATATGTGAGTAATGAATAAAATTTCATCCTAAAATATTCTCTTACTCTATATAGATTTTACGGGAAGATAATCCAATGGAAGAAGAACTATGTTTGGTGGACAGTTGTACCACTAACACAATATTAAGGGAAATAAAATATTTCCAAACTCTAACTAAGAGACAAGGGAATATTATGACCATTGCCGGTCGCGATGCGTCAATTATTGGTTCAGGACGAGCCACACTCGTTTTACCTATGGATACTACCATTGTAATTGAGGATGCACTCTTGTATCCTGAATCTACTCGCACCCTTATAAGTTTCAAAGACATTCGATCAAATAATTTCCATGTGGAAACTATCTCTGAAAATAATAATGAATATTTGCTTTTAACAAAGAGCAATGGGTCTGAGAAACAAATTCTTGAGAAATTCCCCTCACTTTCATCTGGATTATATTACAGTTATATAAAACCCGTACCACATGTTGCGTACAAAATAATTTTTCAAGACCTTGATAAATTCAAGACTTGGCATGATCGCCTAGGTCATCCTGGCATAGGGATGATGAAAAAAAATTATTGACAATTCTATTGGTCACAGCCTTCCAACTAAAAGATTCCCCAAATCATCAGATTTTGTGTGCACCGCATGTGCAACTGGGAAATTAATTATAAAACCATCTTATCTTAAAGTAAAAAATGAGTCATTAAATTTCCTTGAACGCATTCAAGGAGATATATGTGGTCCAATTCAACCACTATCAGGACCCTTTAGGTATTTCATGGTACTCATAGATGCATCTACTAGATGGTCACACGTGTGTCTATTATCCACACGTAATCATGCTTTTGCCAAGTTAATTGCTCAGATTATCAAATTAAGAGCAAACCATCCCGAAAATAAGATAAAAACAATTCGAATGGATAATGCTGCTGAATTTTCTTCACGCGCATTTAATGACTATTGCATGGCTATGGACATTAATTTAGAACATTCTGTGCCTTATGTTCATACTCAAAATGGATTGGCTGAATCTCTCATCAAAAGAGTAAAATTAATTGCTCGACCATTATTACAGAATTGTAATTTGCCAACATCTTGTTGGGCACATGCAGTATTACACGCCGCAGATCTGATACAAATCAGACCAACTACATATCACACAACCTCCCCGCTGCAACTAGTTCGTGGCACTCAGCCAAGTATTTCCCATCTGCGAAAATTCGGTTGCGCAGTATACGTACCGATATCACCACCCCAACGTACAACCATGGGCCCCCACAGAAAACTTGGGATCTATGTGGGTTATAATTCTCCGTCAATTATAAAATATCTTGAACCTCTTACAGGGGACCTGTTTACTGCTCGATACGCTGATTCTATTTTTGATGAGGACCATTTCCCGGCATTAGGGGGAGAATCAAACCACAAAGAATGCCAGGAAATAGATTGGAATGTAACAGGCATCCAGTCCTTAGATCCACGTACTAAAGAATCTGAAACTGAAGTTCAGAGGATTATAGATTTGCAACACATTGCAAATAATCTGCCAAATGCATTTACTGACCATAAAGGTGTCACTAAATCACATATTCCCGCTGTTAATGCACCAGAACGAGTGGAGGTACCAAGTAAAACCTCTCAAACCCCAAATGAGAGTAAGAGGGGGAGAAATCTGGTTAGCCGGAATATAGCTTCTCAGAAGCATCCGCGGAAACAAAGGAAATCAAATCATCTACCAGTAAATGCAATTCAACCTCAAGTTGAAGGACACAAATCAGATGCTCAACATCTAGAACCCAGCATAAATGCGCATACAAATATAATAGCTGGGACATCGGAACACCATGACTCTATTGTTGTGGGAAATCACATAGAGTCTGAAGGTATAAAAGAAATTTCCATAAACTATATAGAATCAGGAGAATTATACAACAGAGAGACTACAATTGTCGACATATATTTTGCCTCTGAAATTGCTGAAACCCTCCAACTGGATCCAGAACCAAAGACCGTCAGGGATTGCCTCAAGCGTCCTGATTGGCCTAAATGGAAGGAAGCAATTGAGGCAGAACTGCGCTCGCTCAACAAAAGAGAGGTATTTTCCTCAATAATACCTACTCCTCAGAATGTCTTCCCTGTGGGAGCAAAATGGGTTTTTGTTCGAAAAAGGAATGAAAACAACGAGGTGGTGAGATTCAAAGCGAGGCTTGTAGCACAAGGGTTCACGCAGAGACCTGGCATCGATTATGATGATACATACTCTCCTGTCATGAGTGGAATAACGTTTCGATATTTAATATCTTTGGCAGTACAAATGAATTTATCTATGCAGTTAATGGACGTAGTGACAGCATACTTGTATGGGTCACTCAAATCGGACATATATATGAAAGTTCCTGAAGGACTTAAAATGCCGAATCCAAAAGCAAATCGCAACGCATATTGTGTAAAATTACGAAAGTCACTCTATGGCTTAAAACAGTCGGGTAGAATGTGGTATAACCGACTGAGTGAGTTTCTTATTCAGAAAGGATACTCAAATAATGATGATTGCCCTTGTGTATTTATAAAGAAATCCTCAAATGGATTTTGCATCATCTCAGTGTACGTTGATGATCTCAATATCATTGGGAGTACACATGATATAGAAGAAGCACGCAATCATTTAATGACGGAATTTGAGATGAAAGATTTGGGAAAGACCAAATTTTGCTTAGGCATACAGCTTGAGCATCTTCCCTCGGGAATTTTAGTATACCAACCTGCTTATATTCAAAAGGTTTTGGAAAAATTCAATATGGATAAATCATATCCAACCAAAACACCCATGGTTGTCAGATCCCTTGATATGAATAAAGATCCTTTTAGACCTCGGGATGATGACGAAGAGATATTAGGACCTGAGTTCCCGTATCTCAGTGCTATTGGTGCGCTAATGTACCTTGCAAATTGCACCAGGCCTGATATTGCATTTGCGGTAAATTTACTAGCTAGACATAGCGCTGCTCCAACAAAACGTCATTGGACAGGAGTAAAGAATATCTTTAGATATTTACATGGCACAAAAGATCTTGGCTTATTCTATCAGAGAAACCAAGATATGACTATGGTAGGATATACTGACGCTGGCTATCTATCTGATCCTCACAATGCTAGGTCATAGACAGGTTTCGTATTCTTATATGGTGGAACTGCTTTTTCATGGAAGTCACAAAAACAGACTCTCGTAGCAACTTCCACTAATCAGTCTGAAATAATTGCATTATTTGAAGCATCAAAGGAATGTGTATGGCTTCGCAGGATGATTAACCACATTCAAACTTCGTGTGGTATTGGTTCATTAGGATCACCAACTATTATTTATGAAGATAATGCAGCTTGCATTGCTCAAATGCAAATGGGTTATATTAAAAGTAATATTACAAAACATATTTCTCCTAAATTATTCTTTCCACATTCATTACAGAAAGATGGAGAAATTGATATTTTGCAAACCAAATCATGTGATAATCTAGCAGATTTGTTCACAAAGTCTTTACCAAATTCAACATTCCAGAAATGTATTCATGGGATTGGTATGAGACGCTTTCGGGATTTGCAAATTTCAGGGGGAGAAAACTCCTAGAATTATGACCCGTTAGTTATCGTCAGATAATAATTATTGTACTCTTTTCCTTATGAGTTTTTACATCGGTTTTCTCATAAAAGGTTTTTAATGAGGCAATATAAATTATACCATATCATTTTCTCCTTATATTTTTCCCACAGGGTTTTAAAAGGAGTTTTCAATGGTGTATCTATTACTCCTCATATTTTTCCCACAGGGTTTTTGGGGGAGGTTCTTAAATTGCTAAAATGGTTCTCAAGTTGGATGATGATTATACAAGAAGCACTAGATGATGAAATATACACGAAGCACTAGAAGATGCGTGATCCAAGGGGGAGTGTTAGGAATAGAATTAGAGTATTTGTTAATTTACTAATTAACAAATGCTAATTAAGGAACCGACATAGGAACCGACCTTGTACTCTCTAACTGCTATGAGCAGTTGTACTTCCTCTCTCATCTTAACAACTGCTATGTGCAGTTGCTGTTTTGTCTCACGCATTGACAACCGCATGTTGCGGTTAAAATGCTCTCACAGAATTGTAACTGCTCCCTGTATATATAGTGCTCAATCAATGAGAATCAAGAACTTCTGTCAAAATCACTTTTTCACTTTACACCGACTTCCCTTCCTTCCTCCTCGCACGCGCACACGCACGCGCCGCGGGACACCGGGACAGGACAACGCGTCCGTCCCTCCCGGAGCAACTTCCCCTGCCTGCCTCTCTCCCTCTCCTTCTTCCTCCCCTGCCTTCCAATGCTCAGTACAAAATCTCGACTACTTGCTTTTCTCTTACGCGCGCGCCGTCAGAAACTGCCTCCGCAGGAGGGAGGAGAGGAGGGGGTGTTGTGCCGTGGTCGATACTCTGAAGATTGATTCCGGTCCGCCGGCAACATGAGGTTCAGGATCCGGAAGAAGCCTGCGTCCGCGCCGCCGGACGCTTCTTCCACGGCCGCCGTGCCGGACACCGCGGCCGGCGGCGGCCGGGCGACGATCAGTATCGTCGCTAGCCCAGATCGCTACGGCACAGAGAATGGTACGTAGGTCATCTTCTGCGGAAACCGTTACTTTCTTCATTTCCGTTCAATCTTGGACCGACCACAAAGATTGATTCGATTCAAAGATTGATTCTTCTTCCTAGTGCTTCCCTTTTCTGTTTATAACTAATCAATCTTGGACCGACCACAAAGAATTTAGTGGGACGGCTGCTTGCTCCCACGAAATTAACTAAGTTATCCTGCCACACTCAGGGATTGGTTGGGTTGAGAATCAGAATTGAATTATGCTAACTGTATAGTCGGTTCTTGTCTCGTTCGGCGTTCGATTAGGATGATCAGGAAGATCAATGCAATCAGTACCTCCCATCAGATTTATTCATTCCTGCGCATGCTAGGTGCACCTACCATGCCATGTGGTAGCTAGGCAACATACCTCTGAATGCGATTGTGATGGGTCGCACTCACACAGTATCGGAGCTAATGCCTTTCGGACGGATGAGTCCTGTCCTGCTGCCATTTTCATCTCATGTCCTACTCTTTTGCTCCATCAGGTACTAGTACTATGCTGGCTTCTTGAAATCTACAACATACAGTAACATCAAACTAATGTTACCGTCAAAAGGCAAGGCATGATATGATCAATGGTCAAAGAAAGTTTCAACAGGAAGTCAAATAGAAGCTCCACAATCAAACTTTTCTCTATAAAAAATACTGCAAAGTTGATCATCAGGACACATTTTTTTTTCTATCTGAATACGAATAAAGCTAGCTTTCGCCTTTCACTTTTTCTGGCCAAACGTCTTAATCTGAAAAAGGCTAATTATTTGACTTGTTAAATATCATCGATCAGTGTTATTGCCTATAGGCCACAACAGTGGTTTCTCATGGTTTTATTTCGCGCTTCTTGTTCTTCCATGCCTCATCGTTAACTGAAGTTACAGTTAAACGACGAGACTACTACTGTAGTAGTTTGCTTCTAATGAAATGCTCCTTTGCTCTAGTAGTTTAATTGAATTAATGACAATTGGAAAAAAACTGGAGAAGATAATATTTTCAGTCCTAGGATCATAACATCAACCATTGATCCATTCACTACTGATTGTTACGCCAGGAGGAAGCAGAGATGAGTCGTTCTTCGAGGCAAGGCCGTGGTTAGACTCGGACAGTGAAGATGATTTCCAAAGCGTGAGAGGAGGTAAAACATCATATTTTCTTGTTTTTTTAATGAATGGTATGATTGGTGTCAACTTCTCACATCCTAACATCTCTGTTCATCCGGATCCTCAAGACTTCACTCCTTCAAGAGGTAGCACACCAGATCACCAGACGCAAACATCATTCGCAGCGCGGATATCTGCGGACATTCCTTCGCTGACAGAGAAGAAGCAGAGGCTCCTTGAGCTGCTTCAGGAAAAGCAGCAGTACGATGACGAGCATGATGCCACTACTGATGCCGGTAGCGAGACAGGGAACAACATTCATGCTGAAGAACATCTGAATCCTTCTGGGAAAGTAGAGAAAGCAAAGAAGCCAGCCAAGCCAGGTTGCTTCGCTTGCTCTGCTTGGAAGCTTAGCTTCAAGGGCTGCCGGAAGAAGAAGAAAGAGCAGAAGGATTTGTGAGTTAGTTCTCAGGTGTTGGATTTTGACTTCTTGAAAAATATTATCGCAAGAGAGCTGGTACATGTATATACCTTTTTGGGGGGTGAATGAAATACCGCAACTAGAAGAAGTATGAGGAGTGTGGAGTGGCCTGTTCAATAGTGGCATGAATAGTGAAACAATTATGCAGGGTAAAATATATAGCATACATGATTACTTCCTGTTTTGTCATTAGTGATTTCGTTGGATCTGAATAATTCTTCTGGACCATGAACTTAGAATTTTTCAAGCAAGGTTTATGGACCCCTCTTTTCTCCATGATTTCTCAGGCCAGGCCAGGTCACGTAATGTCCTTGTGATTTGTGGGCTAATTAGGTGGCATAATGTTGAAACTAACTGGGGACTGCACTCAAGTCCTTTCAACCAGTTTATGTGGCAAGTGATGTATGTTCTCTAAAGTTTTGACAACAGCTTTGATGGCCTCGACCTTTCAAACAAACTAGAATTACGAAAAAAAACCTTTTGCATTATAGTTCCAGCGGAGCTGACAATCAGTAATATTTCTGCGTAGATATCAGTACGTTAAAGAGATCAGTATATCTCTGTGGTATTTTGGCCAAACCAAAAAGGGTTAAGCAAATGCATAATTTGCCTGGAGTTTAAGTTTTAATCAGGCAGAAGCACATGATTGTGTCTTGCAATAGACAGACGGTCAGTACAATCATTTCAGCAAAGAGAGTACCGCTCCATCATGGGATTTTGTGATTCTTATGGAAATATCTGAAAATCCCACTCCTCTCTATTTCTCAACATAGCTATATGTAGACACATATTGGCCTAATGGGCCATATTTAACTCACACGCACACACAAAATATTCAATACTCCCACTCAAGATGGGTGGTAGATATTTATCAACCTCATCTTGTTACATGCCGACTTGAATTATTTTTTATGAAACAAAACCACTTTATTAATTCGAAATAACAGTGACATCGTCTATTAGGAGAGATACAATTTCACTCATGGGCTCCTCAAACCAATCATTGTTTAGAAACTTTAGCCAATCTAACAAGCTCAAGAACAACCTTATTAGCATCCCTGTTACAATGTTCAAAACTACTAAGAGGAAAATCACAAGCTATACAATAGCAATCGTCGAAAACTGCCGCCGCTGCTCCCGTCGAACGTCCTCCATTCTTCATAGTACCAACGACTTCCAAATTATCAAAGTTAATAAGTAGGCGATTGTAACCCGCCCTTTGTGCAAGAGAAAAACCAAATCTTAGCACTAAAGTTTTGGCAGTCAGGACATCAACACACCAATCAATATTCCAATTAACCCCAAAAATAAATTTCCCGCTAGCGTCTTTTAGGACTACACTCGCTGAGCCCCTAAGCAAGTCTTAATCAAAAGATGCATCTTCATTAAGTCTTGATCAAAAGATCCAGTCAGAAATCTGATCCCTCCTATTTATGCCCCCACCTATCCCATCAGTTTACTCTAAGAAAACTCCGGCCCCATCACATGTTCTGAGAGAGAACTTCATCTCCTTGTGTTGATTTCAAAGAGATTTCTACTCCAACCATTCAAGCCAATCCTTTGAGATCTAATCCTCTCTTAATTTCCACTCCTACTTCTCTAATCGAATAGCCATACCTTGAGAGAATTTAAGTGTCGAGGGGATTAACTTTTGAAGCACAAAAGTAAGGGATTCATCACCAAGCTACCTCTATATTGTTACTTTTGGAGGGTGTGTGCCTCCTCGACTGGCTCGGTGCTTGGAAGTCTTCTAGTTTGTGAAGAACCCAAGAAATTTGTAAGGGCTTGGAGATCGCCTACTTTGTGAAGATCTACCCTAGTGAAACTAGTTCTTCATGGGCTTACGCCATGGTGGAATAGGTTGGTTTCTCCTTCATGGATCCTTCATGGGCGAGTGTCCTCACCATTCCTTTGTGGAATATTGCAACCAAGATCCTTGTGATCTTAGACCCTTCATGAATCAAAGGCTCCATCAACGTGGATATGTAAGATAGCGCCCACTATCCAAACCATGGGAAAGAACTTCACTGACCAATTTGTGTTTGTGTATCTCTAACTTTACTTGTTTACTTTCACTTGCATATCTTTACTTTCCGCTGCCTCTACTCTTACAGACTTGCATGTGTAGGGTGCTTTATAGATTGCTAGAAGAGCCTAAAATTGCCAAGGAAAGAAAAATTGGAAAAAGAGTCCATATTTTGGCTTAGTAGTCTATTTCCTTCCTCTCTATACATACTTATCGATCCTACAAAACCCAACAATCTCCAAACTTCCTTAGCTTTTTTGCATTTGAACAAAAGGTGCTTAGTGTCCTCCGGACCATTAAAAGAATAAGGGCAATGAGGCGACACTTTCAAATGTCTATTTGCAAGTGTAACATGACATGGAAGAGTGACATGCAACATGCGCTATTTTTTTACATTTGCCGAGTAAGATAATTTCCAATATCACACCAAATAGGATTGACAATGATTTATCCCATCACATAAGTTTGTTTGAGCTTGCTCCCATGTTGGTGATCTCATTCAACAAAATAAGGTGAACGAACGGTGGATGTCCCATTCTTGTGAAACTCCATGCAATAACATCCCATATATCAAGAAACAGAAGAGGAATTGCGAGAATACATTGTGCATCAATTGGCCACAATGTTGTCTGACCAAGTCTTCGTCCCAACTATTAGTGATGGGATCAACAAAATTAGAGACCTTAGACAAGAGATGTCCCCCATTAAGAGTGATAACTATTCTATCAACAAAATTTGGGACCCACGCATCTTCCCAAATATCAATCTTCTACCGTTACTAATTCTTCATGCATAACCATGCTTCCAAGAATTTACTCCCAACATTACAACCATGCTGACTTTGAACACTTATGTTTCTGAATCCCATAGTTTATTATCAAGATGTTTAATGACTTAACCTTAACGTCCGCTTGTCAAGCCTCTATTTGATGTAGTGATATATCTCCATGTGCTTTATATGGCCGTGTTGAATGGGATTGTTTGCTATGTTAACTGTAGATTTGTTGTCACACAAAAGATTCAATGGACCCCTCTATAGTAGCCCTAATTCTGATAGGAGGCCTTTTATCCATAGCATCTAACACAAACACACATATATTGCTCTATTTTTGCTTACGTGGTTGATCCGGATAAAATTAACCGCTTCTTGCTCCTCCAAGATCCCAATTTTCCTCCAAGAAAGATACAAAATATTGATGTTGACCTTCTGCCATCAAGGAAGCTAGTCTAATCAACATCACAATAGCCCGCTATGTTCAAGTGCTCGTTGGCCTTGAACCATAGACTTCCAAGACTCCCTTCTATATATCACAAAATTTGGTGTGTTGACTCTAAATGTCCACTTCTTCAGACATGCATGTAGCAGTTGACATCAGTCCCCGCATATGATATGGGACATGTCTTCTGTGGTACAAATGAGTTGACCTACAAAACCAGTGTATCTCTCTATCTATTGTATCTCCATATTGCACGCACAATTGATGATTTTTCTCATGAGTTGAAGCGGGTCGACGCCGGAGCATTCTAGCATCACTAATTAAGGAGGTCCAATACATACTCCTGTTGTGAGAGAACTATCGGTATGGGGGCCTTGTAGTCTCATTGCCAATAAAGTACCTCAGTTAACCAAGTTCTTAACTGCATACTCATTAATTAGCTTCTTCTCTAGTTGTGACATCTCAACATTTTAATCCTCTGTAATAATGATGTCATCTATGTATACTACAAGAATCGTGATGTGCCTCCTGGAGTGGCAGTATAACATGTGTCCTGCATTGTTTTGTGTGTATCTCATGCCACACATATTCGATCAAACCATGCCTCATGGAGATTATTTAATCCCATAAGTGACATCCTCAAACTAAGGACCTTCCCTCGAAGTTTGAGATGTACCAAAGCCAGGTAGGATTTCCTTATACACTTCCTCCCAAAAGATCATCATAGAGGAATGCATTTTTCACATCCAATTGGTAAATAGAGAATCAAAACTTGACACACGCTATAAAAAATGATATCTATGACAAAATGCATTCTGTCATGCATAACTGTTTTTTTCTTACAAATGAACATACTTGACCAATTTATAATGAACATGTAGTACAGGTGTTTTTGTGACAAAAGTCTGGTTTTGTTCATAGATGTGTGCTTTCTATGAAGAAAACCGCCTCATCATGGATATGGTGCACTTCTATGACACATATTTTGTCATAACTAAGCCATAATATTTGTCTTGTTTTTTTATGAAATGGGTTATAGTTTAGAGTATTTTTATCAAATTCCAAAAAAGGAAAACAAGCATGTATCCGGCACTTCCATATGCACATCAGTTTTAACTAAATGGACCAGATGAACAGATAGAGAGGCAGTAGAACACGAGGATAGAGATCGGTCACAACGATCTCCCCGCTAGGCTAGCCACCTCTCTCCCTCCCCATGTCGCATGCCACTCCGGCCGTGGCGACCACCCCCCTGCCGCCCAGCATGGGCACACTGCCCCTCCCGCTCGCCGGCGCCAGCTCCGGACCGCTGGGCAGTCCGCGCCCGTTGGGGAACGTAGTAATTTCAAAAAAAATCCTACGCACACGCAAGATCATGGTGATGCATAGCAACAAGAGGGAAGAGTGTTTTCCATGTACCCTCGTAGACCGTAAGCGGAAGCGTTATGAAAACGCGGTTGATGTAGTCGTACGTCTTCACGATCGACCGATCCTAGCACCGAAGATACGGCACCTCCGCAATCTGCATACATTCGGCTCGGTGACGTCCCACGAACTCACGATCCAGCAGAGTGTCGAGGGAGAGCTTCGTCAGCACAACGGCGTGATGACGATGATGATGATGCTACCGGAACAGGGCTTCGCCTGAGCACCGATACGATATGATCGAGGTGGATTATGGTGGAGGGGGGCACCGCACACGGCTAAGAGATCAATGATCAACTTGTGTGTCTATG